GAAATTTATCAAATATTTTTATAAATCACCTAATACACCCCCTCCACCCTAACAGCCACTTTTTATATTCAGCAATGTTGTAGCCTGTATATAAGTTTTAACACCTTAAAACTACTAAAGTACTAGGATGCTACGTAAAATAAAACAACCGTAATAAAACATATATAACTTTACAAAATGTTTTTTTTAAAAACAGGTACTGTTGCATCACATTATCTTAATGTGTTACATATTTTCCAGCAGTTTTTCTCCGGCGCGTCCTTACATAAGTCGCCTTACATTTTATTTGCTTTGATATCCTTATAAATAAAAGATTTAAAAGCACTAGCATTATATATCGTGTTGATATTTTTCTATTTTCATATTTGATCAGTTTGTATTATCTACGCAAAAAAGTTACATTGTCTTGTTCTGGGTTTCGCCTTTCAAAGATTTTAATTTTTTAAAATATGCTCTTCATGGTTGCGAGTATTAAACTGACTTCAGTCAATACATTTTCTATTAGATTTGAAAATTTTAATTACATTTTCATTATCTATTAATTTGAGTGTTCATTTTCATAAATCAAATAATTTCTTTATCTTACAATCTAATGATTGAAGAGCGAAAAGAAAGAACCGAGTTCATTGTTGATTGTTGAATCATAGACAACAGCAGCTTTTTTTTTTATACAAGCTGAACCTGATCAAAGAAACTGAGGAAATAATATAAAATAGATCATCTATATTTTGCTGCCACACGTTTAAGGTGACCCGAAATAAAGAACGTCGTTTGGGCCTTAAAAAATAAATTTATATAGAGAAAAACAAAGAGACAAAAACAGGTGATCTTTTATAAAAGAAATAAGTTTTTTTTTTAAAAAAAAAAATTTCTTATTTTACTAAAACAATATAATATTCTTATCATTAAATATGGGCGCCTGTTGTTCTAAAGAGCAAAATCCAATTACTGGCTGTGGTCATTTCTAAAAGCAAAACATTTCTAAATTTACAAATAAACTCAATTTTATGTAATTAGTTACTATTTTTACATTTTCCACTTCTTCGTATATGATCAGTTTCTATGTGTTTGTTCTCAATTTTGGATGAGTTGATGCATTTAACTATAAGTGAGCAATTGTTGGAAATCAACGCCATCATTCTCCTGATTTTTAAGCAAACTTAAGTGTGTACCTTTCCTTGCTCTATCACGCATCTTTGGTACACATATATAAACTGAAGACCAAACAAACAAATCAAATGAAGATAAATTTCATATAATCACACTCTTGTTCCAATTTCGTCTTAAAAAAAGCTGTAGCCATAAACACATAAAATTACGCTTAAGTTTTATGATTTCAGATCAGAACTTTAAAGGAATTCAAGCAAACTCGTTTAACCTTGACCATTGCAGGAAGCAGATTTTAAAGCATTGGGAGTTCATTCAAAACTTATTTGATCCGTATGTAAAGCATTTAAGTTTAATCAGGTAATATTTGAACGAAAAGTAAAACACCACGTCTAACTTCAGACATTATTGAATCAAATATAAAGCATTGCGAGTTAATTTAAACGTTACAAAAGGGATGTTTGTTTCAAGCACAACAAAAAATAAAATAAAAAAAGTGCGCGCGGTGATTGAATCTCATGCTACGCCAAAGCAAGAGTATCATAGCCGATTTCCAGCTTGGTACACCACATAAATTTGCAATAAATTTCGATTTTTTTGGCAAACTTGAAATGACGATATATCCATCAGTTTTTAATATTTTTTGGTTCTGTTTCTTTTGTAAATATTGGCCTTAATGAAATGTATTTAAATATTAAAATTAAAGATAGGGTAATAATAAAATACGTCCAAAAAAGGCAATTGAAATTTACTTTTTTTCCAGTTACTCAAAAACGTTTTCACAAACAGTTTATAACTCCAAATTAGTTCAAAAAGACGAAAAAAAGCAAATCTCAACGGCTAAATTTTTTGGTGTCCGTATATGGGCGCCCAAATAAGGTTCAAAATCACGTGATTTGGGGTTGTAGCTCAAATGGTAGAGCGCTCGCTTAGCATGTGAGAGGCACTGGGATCGACGCCCAGCTACTCCAACTTTCTTTTTCGAAAAATCTACGAAAAATCGGACTTTAAAAGTGTGATTATATAAAGTTTTTTTTTAAACCAATCATATTCTTCTAATGAAGAAATATTTTTGTTTTATGTCTGATTTTACCCGCTAGGATTAATTGTTACTTCATTGATAAAAAGTTTGATATTAACAATGTTTTTAGTGTAATGTGACAATCTTGGTAAAAGTAATTTATTTAAGAAAAGGGCAGACTGCAATGTCTCTCGGTTCTTCACAAAATAAGACGAATATTCCGCCCGTTGTAGCGATGTTGAGGATATCACAGAGACAACAATAAAATTATTATCGCATCACATCAAGGATAAATTGTAATATAAAAGTTAACTATGAATCTCGGATTACCCCGCTTGTTCTCATTATGCCTTTTAATTTGTCTACCGAGCACATCATCCCTGTAGCGAGCAAATATTTATTCTGCGAAAAGCAATAATACAATCGAATAGTCCTGGACTTAATTTATAGAATATTTATAGATCCCGAGCATAAATATTACTTTCGTCATATCATATTTTTTGACAATTGTTAATCCCTTTGACTTAAATTTATATATTCAGTATGGTATTGATAAATTTAAAGTCATGGTTATTATCTATTATCATGGTCTAATAATGCGTTCAGTATTTTCTTTAGAACAATTTAGTTCCCTTAGATATCCCTGGTTTTTTCTTATAAACCAACATAACGGTTTTTAAATTCATATTTTTTCGTTCAAATGAAGTAGTATTCAAGTTCTAACAGTATCACTTTAGTTTTACTTAAAAATTATGTTTCTCCATACAAAGCAAGCGACCTTGTTCAAGAGTGATGCAAAATCATCCGTCAACCTTATTCTAGCGTACATTTCATATATTTTCTTTACTATAAATTTATTTGTATTTCTTTTATCTGATAAACCAGGATCTGTTTTTTTGCTAAGATTTAGTCATAACATATTGATATATTCGGGTTCCTACATTATAGCAAGGTGCTCACTTCTTTTGCCAGTAGGAAGAGGTAGCAATTTTACAACAGCTTTAATAATATATACATTGATACAACTCAGGGTTACTAGATATACAAAAATGGCTTTCTCTTCAAATAATATATTGATTGAATTGATAAATAATTACAGTCATCAACATCAAGTCCACACAAACTAGTCAATAGTTTGACCCACTTTATATGACTATAAGTACTTCCATTTATATTTCTTTAAAGAATGAAAAAGCTACAAGCATTCTCAATTTTCTGTGCCCGAGAACTGTCTCTCCACTTTTTTTAAAGTTCTTAATCCACTATTACAACTTTTTATTTGCATTGCTTTGTTTACGTTAATGTTAAAAAAATCATTATTGTATCACTAACAGGACTAGCTGATTGGTTCACTTATATAATCACACTTTTAAAGTCCGATTTTTCGTAGATTTTTCGAAAAAGAAGATTGGAGTAGCTGGGCGTCGATCCCAGTGCCTCTCACATGCTAAGCGAGCGCTCTACCATTTGAGCTACAACCCCAAATCACGTGATTTTGAACCTTATTTGGGCGCCCATATACGGACACCAAAAAATTTAGCCGTTGAGATTTGCTTTTTTTCGTCTTTTTGAACTAATTTGGAGTTATAAACTGTTTGTGAAAACGTTTTTGAGTAACTGGAAAAAAAGTAAATTTCAACTGCCTCTTTTGGACGTATTTTATTATAAGCCTGTCTTTAAATTTAATATTTAAATACATTTCATTAAGGCCAATATTTACAAAAGAAACAGAACCAAAAAATATTAAAAACTGATGGATATATCGTCATTTCAAGTTTGTCAAAAAAAATCGAAATTTATTGCAAATTTATGTGGTGTACCAAGCTGGAAATCGGCTATGATACTCTTGCTTTGGCGTAGCATGAGATTCAATCACCGCGCGCACTTTTTTTTTTGTGCCTGAAAACAAACATTCCTTTTATGATGTTGGAATTAACTCGCAATGCTTTATAATAAATTGTGATGTTTTGATGATTCTTCTGACTCAATGGCTTCAAAAAAAATTGTTGTGATTGCAGATTGGACAAGATCTTAGCATCTAACCCGATTAATGAAGACAGACAGCTATAAATTTTCTCACCAAAGTAACTTATTGTGTGGCGATCACCGTATTTGTAATTAAATGTAATAATATATATGTTTTTCAGACGAGGATTTCAATCTTTACTTTCTTCTTTTTATTTTGAGGAGTGAAATAAATCTTAATTCGTTGTCTTTTTCCTTTTTTAACTTTCCATCATAACCCAAAATTACGACCAAAAGTAACGAGGTGAAAAACATCGTCCTAAAAATAAGTATACGATGATTAGAAGAGTGTGCTGGTCGTTTTACTGGCCTGCTACATAGTACATAAAAATGGTGATGAGCATAAAATAGCTTTTAGAATCATCTTCACTATTAGGATAGCTCTTGTCAAAATCTGAAGTGAGACTTATGGCTATATAAAAATGTTTCGAGTCGAATGTGATTATACATAATTTTGCCTTTTTTGGACGGTTTGAATCTGTCTTGACAAAGTGGAAAAAATATTTTTACATTTTTTTTTTTTTTTCTTTAAAAAAAAAGCTATTCTCTCTACTGTAAAGGGCTAGAGGCGACGAACTGTTATTTAGATTAGTTTTTACTTGTAAACTCAACTCAATTGGAATGGTAGCAATATTAATTTTTTTTTAATTGTAGGCTTTCTTAAACGCAGTGGCAAACGATACTTTTGACTATGGATTATTTGTGCAAAATTGAAAAACCGATTTTCATCCGGAATTTATGCTGTCCCGAAATGGATAAAGTTCACCAATCGGGTTGTTGTTAAGACGGAATTTTTGACATCACCCAAATGGTATAAAAAGTAGGAATTTCATTTCAAATAACGTTGAAACTGTAAAAAAAAATAGATTCACACAATCAGCAACATGGCAGAAAATTATTACTTAGGTCTTGACTTGTCTACACAACAATTAAAATGCACGTTGATAAATGAAAACCACGACATTGTCTTGGAAGAAGCAATTAATTTCGATAAAGACTTGCCTGAATTTGGAACCGTTCACGGTGCCATTGTAGACGACAATGTCGTAACCTCTCCTACTTTAATGTGGGTCAAGGCTCTTGATCTTTTATTAACACGTTTAAAGGATTCGCCATATGTTGGTTCTATCCGCGGTATTTCAGGAGCCGGCCAGGTACAGTGATTTATACCAGCATTGTATGTAGCTATTTAACTTACATTCATTAATAGCAACATGGCAGTGTTTATTGGAACAAGGAAGGTCTTGAACAATTATCTAATCTCGATCCTGCCAAAAGCATGTACGAACAATTGGATAATGCATTCTCTATTCAACAATCACCCATTTGGCAAGATGCAAGCACAACTACTGAATGCCGCGCCTTAGAAAAATCTGTAGGTGGTGCCGAGGCCTTAGCCAAATTAACGGGATCAAAGGCATATGAAAGGTTTACAGGAAATCAAATCGCTAAGGTATAGTGAAATAATATATATATATATAGACAAAAATAACTGAGAATTGAAATATACCTAGATCTATCATAATAATAGAAAGGCTTATGACGAAACTGCTCGAATTGGTCTTGTAAGTTCATTATTATCGAGTCTTTTGCTAGGAAAGTTTGGGCCAATGGATGCAGCAGAAGGCTCAGGTACCAATATGATGGATATAAACTCTCATAAATGGGATAGCAAACTCTTGAAGCAATGCGGTGGGGATGAATTACAAGAGAAGTTGGCAGAAGAACCAGTAGAAGGTGGTGAAGCACTTGGAAAAATCAGTGGTTATCTCGTAAAAAGATATGGCTTCAATGAGGGTAAGTAGTTGAGTACATAAATACTTTTGGAAAAGTAGTAACATGTCTAATTAGATTGTCGCATTATGCCTTTCACTGGTGACAACTCCGCCACACTTGTGTCCATGAATTTGAGTGAAGGTGATTGTGTAGTATCTCTCGGAACGTCTGATACCGTTCTTGTATATCTTAAAAAGGGTGCTGCAGAACCTACAACCGAATCACATCTTATGGCCCATCCAACCGACCCTGAGGGATTTATGGGTATGCTTTGTTATAAAAATGGATCATTAGCTCGAGAATATATTCGTAATTCTTACGCTAATGGAAGCTGGGACGAGTTCAACGAGTACTTGGTTAACAAGGAGGCAATGACCGAAGGAAATATTGGCTTTTACTATTGGATGCAAGAAATTATTCCATTTGCCAAAGGAATCTACAGATTTGAAGATTTAAAAGCCGTAGAGGAATTTAAAGATAAGACTATCAACGTGAAGGCTATTGTAGAATCACAATTTATGTCGATGAGAATTAGATTAGAACGTATGGGTGGTAAAAGCATCAAGCGTATATTGGCCTCTGGTGGTGCTGCAGCAAATCCTAACATTCTTCAATTACTTTCCAATGTCCTGGGCTTACCCGTGTATAGACAACAAGGAATGAATGGAGCTAGTCTGGGCGGAGCGTTATTAGCTAAATTTGGCACTGTCAAAAACGCATCATTTGAGGATATGATGGCTCAACATCCTTCCGCTGGTTTAGAACTCATTTGTAAACCAGATTTGGAAAAGACCAAACAATACATTTCACATGTAGGACAATTTACAGACTTAGAAAAAAAAATTGTTCAATAAAATTGTATAAACGTATGTACTTGTAAACATCATAATAAAATGAAATAAAAAAAAAAAGCATAAAAAAGTAATTGTTTACGCGTATTGTTTTGGAATGAACTAAAAAGGTTTTCATTGTTTGCAATAGTGGTTTGTACAACATGAAATACGTAATTATTTTTTTTAGCATACATTCAGTGCAGCCAATAAAAAGCCGGGAAGTTTCAAGTTAATTCTTTTACTTTCTCGCAAGTTCTACTACTTTCATTATCTCAGCCAATAAAAATGCTTGGAAATTGCTAGTTCTTCCTAAAAGAGATTTCGAAATTTATATAAAAGGCACAGAATTTGTTTATCCCCTTTTTTTCTTCATTACTTTATTTCACTATAAATAACTATATAAACATGTCTGAAGGAAAATCTAGTAAGTAGTTAGATGACCACTAGTTAATTCTCGATCGAAAATATTAATACTGTTTCTTTCTTTTTTAGTCGGTATTGATTTGGGAACCACCTACTCTTGTGTTGCTGTCTGGCAAAACGATCGCGTTGAAATCATTGCCAACGATCAAGGTAACCGTACCACTCCCTCTTATGTTGGTTTCACCGACTCCGAACGTCTTATTGGTGATGCCGCCAAGAACCAAGTCGCCATGAACCCTTACAACACCGTCTTCGATGCCAAGCGTTTGATCGGTCGTCGTTTCGCTGATGCCGAAGTTCAAGCTGATATGAAGCACTGGCCTTTCAAGGTGATCGAGAAGGATCAAAAGCCCGTTATCCAAGTTGACTATAAGGGTGAGGCCAAGACCTTCACTCCCGAAGAAATCTCTGCTATGATCCTTGTCAAGATGAAGGAAACTGCCGAAGCTTACCTCGGAACTACCGTCAAGAACGCTGTTATCACCGTCCCTGCTTACTTCAACGATTCTCAACGTCAAGCTACCAAGGATGCTGGTTTGATTTCCGGTATGAACGTTCAACGTATTATCAACGAACCCACTGCCGCTGCTATCGCTTACGGTTTGGATAAGAAGGTCGAAGGTGAGCGTAATGTATTGATTTTCGATTTGGGTGGAGGAACCTTCGATGTTTCTCTCTTGACCATTGAAGATGGTATCTTCGAAGTTAAGGCCACTGCTGGTGATACTCATTTAGGTGGTGAAGATTTCGATAACCGTCTCGTTGATCACTTCATGCAAGAATTCAAGCGTAAGTTCAAGAAGGACATCACTGGTAATGCTCGTGCCATCCGTCGTCTTCGTACCGCATGTGAGCGTGCAAAGCGTACTTTGTCTTCTGCTGCTCAAACCACCATCGAAATCGATTCTCTCTTCGAAGGTGTTGACTTCTATACCTCTTTGACTCGTGCTCGTTTCGAGGAATTGAACCAAGATCTCTTCCGTAACACCATGGATCCCGTCGAAAAGGTTCTCCGCGATTCCAAGATTGATAAGGGTTCCGTCCACGATATCGTCCTTGTCGGTGGTTCCACTCGTATCCCCAAGGTCCAAAAGATGGTCTCCGATTTCTTCAACGGTAAGGACCCCAACAAGTCTATCAACCCTGATGAAGCTGTTGCCTATGGTGCCGCTGTTCAAGCTGCTATTCTTTCCGGTGATACCTCTGAAAAGACCCAAGATCTCCTTCTTTTGGATGTCGCTCCTCTCTCTCTCGGTATTGAGACTGCTGGTGGTGTCATGACTGCTCTTATCAAGCGTAACACTACTGTCCCCACCAAGAAGTCCGAAGTCTTCTCTACTTATGCCGATAACCAACCCGGTGTTCTCATTCAAGTCTTTGAAGGTGAGCGTGCTCGTACTAAGGATAACAACATTCTCGGTAAGTTCGAGTTATCTGGTATCCCTCCTGCTCCTCGTGGTGTTCCTCAAGTTGAAGTTACCTTCGATGTTGATGCTAACGGTATCTTGAATGTCTCTGCTCTTGATAAGACTACTGGTAAGTCCAACAAGATTACCATCACCAACGATAAGGGTCGTCTTTCCAAGGAAGATATTGAACGTATGGTCAACGATGCTGAAAAGTACAAGGCTGAAGATGAAGAAGCTGCTTCTCGTATCCAAGCTAGAAATGGTCTCGAATCTTATGCTTATAACCTCCGTAACACTCTTCAAGATGAAAAGGTTGGTGGTGCTCTCCCCGCTGAAGATAAGGAAAAGGTCAAGAATGCTTCTGATGAAGCCATCAAGTGGTTAGATGAATCTCACGAAGCCTCCAAGGAAGAATATGAATCCAAGCAAAAGGAACTCGAAGAAATTGTCAACCCCATCATGATGAAGTTCTATCAACAAAACGGTGGTGCTGAAGGTGCTGCTCCTGGCGGTTTCCCTGGCGGTGCCCCTGGTGCCCCTCCTGCTAACCACGATGATGGACCTTCCGTTGAAGAGGTTGATTAAATAACCTATTATCTATTGCATACATATCCCCTTCTATCCCGTAAAAAAAAAAAGAAAAAGCATATTTATTTGTATTATACTCCCTTTAAGACCTTTCTTATTATTTTCTATATTGCTTAATTTTCTATTTGTTAATAAATATTTGTACAAAAAAAAAAAAAAAAAAAAACTTCTTACTGCTTTCAATTGCTGGGTGTTGTCTTTGCATATAACTAAACTAACCAAAGCCATATAAAGTCACATTGCTGTCTTATAAGTTGGAATGTTTCCATATTTGCAAGCAGATTATAAAAAAAGTATGATCCAGAACTAAAAATTTCCTTGTTCTATTCACTTCATATAATACGAAGGCAACATTTTACAATGCGACAATTTGCTACGTTCGTAGTGTCATTTTCCTTAATCTTTATACTAGTACATGCTGTACCCACTCAGGACAAGGACCTGTCAATTGTCCACGTGAGCTCTGATTCTGTTAAAGCAAAACTTACATTATATGACGAGACTCCTATGCATGGGTCATTTCCGGTATGTAGATCAATTTTTGCAGTAGTAGTAATAGAAAATTGGCTGACCTCATTATAAGAAGGATCCTATGCACATCAACAATGATGTTATTTCTACAAAAGTAACAGGATCAAGATTAGACGCTAGCCAATTTGAAGCACTTATTACAGGACTCAGTACTCTACTTGAGACTTCCCAAGAGCGGTACGGAGAAATTTCTGAATCGGATCGATACAGTATCGTCAAATCCATTGTCGAACACTTACCAGGCATATCTCCAGAACAACTCGATGAGGTGGACTACATGATTGACAATGTCATAACACAATACAATAAGCCTGAGACTATATTACCGATGAAATTTGTGAAACCATCCACTGTATTAGAAAAGCGGTTTGCTGAAGGATATCCTAATAATGAAGAATGCTGGGGGTATGAAACGGACTGTGTCACTCCTGAGTTTTTCAATGAAGAGTATCAATGGCCGAAAAACGATAAGCGCTCTTTTCCAGATACATCCCGACAAAATTTTATACAGGTCCTGAATATCAACAATGCAAGAATTATCAAGAATACCAGAAATAATGTAAATCTTATGGCAAACAATCTTAGACAAATTGCCCCCATCAAAGGTATTGAAGAGAAGACGACTGACTTAAGATTGATTCTAAAAAGTTCCCAATATGCGGCTAGAGAGGCGCTCCAAAATCCTCAATTTCTCAGCAAATTTAAATCGGGAATACTATCACAAAATAGAGCATTAAAAAATATCGATGCTGTGTATACACAGATAGTTCACATCATACAAAGTTTAATTAATGTAAACAATGAAGGTATAATGGAAGAACTTGCTCAGGTGCGTGCTGAGATATTGAACGATGCAAGCCAAAATGATGATATGCTTGCCCGCACAATTTTTAAAACATTTCTGGATCTTATCATCTCATCAGTAAGATCCTCATACAATGAAGAAATCGTAATCTTTAACGGCCGTCATTATTTGAATAATAATGAAAACCCACATCCAAGTTCAGATAAAGAAGATGCTATCGAAATCCAAACTAACCTTCAAACAGATTGTCTGGTACAGGCTCATAACTACGAGCAAAGATAACTTTGTTGATATGCGTTGATAAAGTTTATATCGTCTGCGTTTGTTACAAAGTAATACTCTAAATATACATATATATAAAATAAAATTTTAACATATAGTGCACCAATGCTAAATGACAATATGCCACAAATAACAAACAGTTAAATGTTTACACCTAATGGTTAATTTTAAAAGCTGCGTCCACATTTATTATTTTTATTTTTATTCTAAATATCCAAAAAATTCATAATAGCACGAGTGATTTTAAATACTAATTTCATTGCACATTTGGCAGTCAGTGATATGTCATTGAGTAATACCTAACTATGTATACTTGCAAGTGTGAATCCATGCTACATATATAAGAAAAAGAAAAGTGATACATAATATAATTTTACCGAATCGGTGGTACCGATATCATCTAAATGTATTTATTTTTATTTTCTGAAAAAAGGGAGGAGGGGAGATTGAGTTAGCATCCACAAATTAAATTTGTGCTGGATCTCGGTATTCGATAGGCATATTAGAAATCTAAAAGCTAAAAGTTTATTAATATTGATAAAGTAAAAGACACTAATAATAGATATACGATTATTAAAAGATTAGATTCTCGACCGGTTTTTTTGTAGTGAATTAATGTTCGGCTTTAAGCTATGGACTGGTAGAAGTTTATACTTATTTTTTTACACCCGGCCCCCTTCCCCTGTGATGTAATTTAAACGGACAATGGGATTTTGATATAAAAGGGAAACAATTATCGTTTTCTCATTTTTCAAAACAATCAATTCAGTTTATACAACTATCTTTTCCAACCATGCTCCAATTAATCCCTATTGCTCTTTTCGCCTTATCCGGTTTCTCTGCTGTCGCCAATGCTGCACCCACTCCCAACGCTCTTATGAGCGCTTCACCTATGGCCGAAGCTCCTGTCGGTATTGTCAGTACTCCTGCTGCTGCCAACTGGAAGCGTCATCACCAACAAGCTGCTGAGTCTCATATCTTTACTGAGGCCTTCATCAAGTCTGCCGTTGCTGAAGCCATGGCCAAGCAAAACTCAGTCTTAGTCAAGAGAGAAGACGCTGCCCCTGGTATTGACTTGGGAGGTATCTTCAGAGGTGTCTTTGATAAGATTGTAGACCATATCATTGAGGTCACTCCATTGAATGACATTGTTCATGGTAATTACGATTTCTTGTACGATATCTTCTTGGCCAAGATTGGCGAAGCTGTTTCTGGTGCCGGTGCTCCTGCCGAAGAAACTCCCACTGTGGATGCCCTTGATGCTCCTGCTGCTAATTCCACCACTGTAGCTGATATCACGGCCGCTACCAAGGAAACCAAAGACACCAAGCCTGCCAAGGATACGAGCGCTGAAGATGCCGAAGAAGACAACGACGATGAGGATGATGAAGAAGAGGATGATGAAGAGGACAACGATGATGATGACGAAGAAGATGATGATGAAGATGATGAAGAGGATAATGAAGATGATGATGATGAGGAAGACGATGAGGACTGGGAGGACGATGATGAAAAGAGCTGGAACGAAGATGACGATGAAGAGTAATCATTTATTCCATAAAATAGTATATCCTATTTGTTTCATACCACCCAAAAAAAAAAAGCACAATGTTTGCACACAAATAAAAACTTTATTAAACTTTAAAACTTTTAAGTTTTTATTCGCCCAGATGGGCTATTATCATCTCGAAAAGAAATTATATAAAAAAATTAAAGTAATATGGAGGCGAGTACACGACTAATACAACCTCCCTCCGTATACTGACTTCAAAAAAGTCTTTTAACTTGAAAATGCAATATAATTGTCACATTATTGAGTTGCAACGGCAATTGAGAATAACTGATTGATACCCAAGCGATAATAATGGTTGGAATTTCAATAAGTCTACTGGCACTTTAATGATAAAAAAAAGTAGCATTGTTTACTATGTGCCACTTCTACTGATGTTGTAATATGTGATGTCCTCTGTCTATATATATTACTTGATATGGTAATGACAGCATGTCTAATATAACCCATCTCAAATATACAAATATAATAGAACAATGTATATTTAAATCTTGCCAAAAATCAAATTCCAATGTCAATAACGTCTACCAAAGGGACGGTATCCCGGGAGTTTTATTTTGGGAGGATACCCTTATTAGTTTCCTATTGACAACCTATAAAGACCGGAAATTAATTGAACTTTATCTTATTCTTCTTTTTATAAATAAAAAAATGCGCTTAAATCGTGTGGCAAAGATTGTTGCTGTTTTCCTTGGACTCTCATTTATTAGCATAGTTCAAGCCGTCGTGTTATCTGAAGGTGAATCTAGTAATGTAAAATATTCTGAAAGATTAGCACGCGCAAGATCATTTGATAGTCTCCTAGCCCTCGCAGATCGTGATATGGAAGTTGGCGAAAAGTCACATATACCCATAGATCTCAGTAACTACTTGGAAACCAAGCAGCCACCACTCAATGATACCATTTTAACATCCTACGGCAATCCCGCCTTCAACGAAATGTTTGATAACATCACGGACAATTACCCCGAATATTCCAAATTCCTTGAAAACGCATCGACGAGAGAAATCATGAACCTCCGTCTCAAAGTCATGACTTATTACAAAAGTGATAGTGAATATGGCAATATCCAGAACAGATTCGATAATTTCATTAGGGATTTCAGACCTAAAACAGTTTCGTTTGATAAATTTTGTTTTTCAATCATGGATTATCTTATTTTCCCAGGCTTGGGTGTCGAGTCGTATTCGCCGGTTGCGTTGGCCGGACTGCGTAAAAGCGTGGTCAGCACAATCCCCAGAAACGCCACTGCAGCACAAAGAAGGGACTTTGTTGGTGTTGTCGACGACATTATTTTCAAGTATTTAACCGGAGAAGATATATCTAGCTATTCTACAAATAAGGCCTGATACCCGCCCTATTTTATATTTTTAAGAATAAAAAGATGAATGATTTAAAGCCACTGGCAAAAAAAAAGTCCTATGTTCTCTCTTCAGTTAAAATTTCTAAAAAAGAACACAACTACAAGTAAAATTCTACGAGTGGGAATTCCAAATTGTCATTCTTTGAAATCATGTTGTTGCATCAATAGAATTATTCTCAGGGACATTCTGCATTTCCTAAAACAGTAATTTAGGTTACTACCCTTGAAACTTTTGTTGTTTTCTCAAGTGAGCCTATGGTTTAAAAGAGAGGTACCTTAATTATTGTGAGCTATGGACCACCATTCGATATCGCGGGGGGGGGGGGGTAAGTGTTCTTGGTGTATTGGCTCAAGTGCTTTCATCGGGAAACCAACTACAGTTAAAATTCCTCTTTTCTAACAATTGCATAAATATATATAGACAGCATTTGAATAGAAACAATCCTTAACACGTTCCTTTCAACTCTAATAAGATGATGCCGATCACTCGGATTTTTTTTCTATAACCAACAACAGGCATGTTTCATGCAAGACAAAGATTTATGTACAGCTCAAAACACAGAGTAAATCATTGTTAAAGACGTTTTGCCAATGAACTTCGAGATAGTACAACCAATATAATTGTGTGATATCCACCTATAAAAAAAATCTAAGCTTTCAATTGGCAAAAAGTGAAAAGATGACAAATTCTTACGTTATATTACAGATACATCAACAAAGGTATGGTATTATACACTATAATTAGAGAATTATTCCCAATTAAGATGCATAATCCGAGGCCCGTTTATTTTAGCACATGCTATTGTTCAAATAGCTCTTGACGTATACGCTGTAAAATCAAACAACAAACAAGTAAAATGGCGCGGAAAACCGGAACTATATCCCAAGAACCAGAACAAACATTAACCTAAATTACACATTGCCAAATTAAAGTATGAAAAATAAAATAAAATCAAGCACGGTTTATTTATGATGATAAATAGCCAAGAGAAACACAAACTAGGACAGGTGGGGGGGGGGGAGATAATTTTTTTAATATTAGAGTTAGGATGGGAGTTGATAATAGGAATGCACATAAGAAATCACAGACTCTTCTTTGTTGCAATTACTAAAGAAATAGCAAAAATAAAGGACTGGTAATTACAATTTATAAAGGATATTTCGATCCTGAGCATCTGTGAGATCCAAATACACGTCAGTAGGGGTAGTGGGAGGATTAGCTATACGACGCTTATTTTCGTTCTTCATCAGGATGTAGTTTATAATCAAACATACGATAAGGGCAGCATTTGCAATTGAAAACCCGGTCATGGCACCGAAATAACCAGGCGCTTGGTTATCAATCATCAAGAGAGGGCCAATAAAGTTACCAAAAGTCATAGCTACCATATTGACGGCGTTGTAAAAATTACGCTTGGTATAGCCAGAAACATTGGTCGAAACAAGTGTTTGCGTCAGAGAACCCACACCCGTCATGGCCCAACTAAGGTAAAGACCGACAAGTTTAGGCATGCCTGGCACAGTGGAAAGGATGATACAACCCACAAGAGAGATACTTGCAGTACCTATTGCAGTAAATGTAGTATGATGAACACGATTTGCTACCCATACTGCACCAATAGCAAACGTTGCGGAGACAACGCCGTTGGGAATTTGGAGGATAATTGAATTAAATGCCTTAAAAAAACTTTTTTTTTAGTGCACGGGTAAAAAATAAAAAGATGCGGGAAATGTTATGATTACTTACAGAAAAACCTAATCCTTCCACCAGAATGGTACTAAATGTAACTAGACCACCGTTTTGAAGACAGTTAAACAAATTCATAAAAAAGATAAGATACAGGCGAGGTTCTTTCAAGGCTTCCCATCGTTGTTCGGACTTGATTTCTTTTACTCTCACCACACAATTGTCACGGGTTCTTTCTTCCACAATGTCCAATTCCTTTTCGGTCAGACGTAAAAGTTTGTGATGTGTATTATCCACAAGACAGAAAAAGGTCAAAATACCAATTAGGACCGTCATAATACCAAATACAATGTAACCCCTTATAATACATATATAAATTAGCGTCCCTATATCACAAGCGAATTTTTCTTTCCTATTTTACCATCGCCAAGCACGAAGACCAGCAATATTGTCCATGTGATATAACCCATACGCAATCAGAACACCAAAGACTGTACCCATGCCTGTACTTATACCTAGAAAACCCCAACACGAGGACTGTTCGGAACGACGGTATAGAGTATTGAGAATAATGTAGACACAGGGATATGTGACGCCTTCAAACAAACCAAGCAAAAATCTCAGGGCCATGAGTTGAGAAAATGTGTGACAGAGAGCAGTTGCAGCCATGACAAAACCCCATACTATCAGTACTGAACCGAGATATCTTCCAGTAGGATACTTTTGAATAAGATAATTGTTGGGAACCTATTGTAATTACACATTCTCATCAGATTATTGACTTTTGTGTATATATATAATATCTTTTTTAAGTGTATTTACCTGGCAAATCAAGTAACCCAAATAAAAGATCGAGCCAACCCAACTAAACTGACTACCGGTGATATTATTGTCTTCCTTGATGCCCAGCACAGCAGCAACACTTAGAGCTGATTTGTCACAAAACTAATATATAATAAAAAGAGCGAATTGGTTGTTTTTCAAAGGAAAATGCGTGATGAAATCTTACTTGAATAAATACAATCAAAAAGATAACTGGTAATACTGTCCAATTTAATTTTCGCACGAACGCTTTTTCTTCTGGTGTTTTAACAAATTTAACTGGAGTCGAGTCATGTTCGCTGATGATATCCTCAGCCAAAGTTTCCTTGCTATGATCAAAGGATTGGGAGTCCACTTGTTTTTCCATTTTTTTTTATGATAAAAAGAAAGAGAGAAAGCCAAAAAAAGAAAAATAGGATCAATGAAATCAATACAGTGTGTATTTATGGAAAAAAGGAGAAAGAGTGTACAAGTGTAATTTTATATGTGTTACGTGATGATTATTTTTGATCCACAAAACTTGACATGAAAATAACTAAACACTTTTGATTGCCTCCTCCTTTTTAATTGTGTATGTGTGTGCATGTGTGTGTAACAAGATTTTTTTTTTTAATATCTACAAATGATGGATCTTCTATTTTTAATATATATCTACAATACATTGTTCCACACATTTTGAATACGTCTTTCATCATCAAGACGTTTCACAATTCTCGAATAAATTTCTTGACCATAGAAATCTTCAAGATTCGTATTGTCGGGTAACTTGTCGTGTATGTTTGCTTCTGTTCTTGTCAGACAAATCGTATTAAAATGGCTTAAGGGTTCGGTCTTGATCCATCTTGTTAATGCTAATTTGTCATCAGGGCCTGAAATCACACTCTTTCCATGCCACATTTCCTCGAATATATAACCCACATCACGAGCATCCAAAGGACAGATCCTAATAGTTAAACAAAGATGAGCTTTTAAGGCTTTGATCGAAAGCAATATCCAGTGTATATAAGGGCTTACTTTTCGTTAAATGATTTTGTCTCTCTGATCATCAATTCACGATGCATGCGAATATATAATCCATCTCTTAATTTGATGGGGAGTGGGTTGAAATCAGGATATTCGGCTAAACGCAGGATGATATAGGTGGCAATCGCCATACCAAACATACTAGGAATTGTACCCAACACAGGCAAGATACGTGCTCTGAAATCTGGCAGCGCTGAAAATTCATCTCTATCCTCAATCTTTTCCTCCTCTACAAAATAATAATCTTTAGCATATTGCACGTGCAAAAAAAAAAAAGGGAAATATAGTATAATATTCTTACCCAATGGTAAGAGCTTAACATGATGAGGTTTCTCTGTTGAATAGGCAACAGGAACACCATGAAGAATTCCCATCTTTTTAAGTTTTCGTCGTACGGCACGTGCGAGTGGATCCTCTGGTTATTTGGGCTTTTCTTTTAATATGACGAGTCATTTTGCATTAAAAAAAAAAACTTACCAAAAGTCTCACTGATGTCCGCAATTTGGATACGAGATGGATCTGCTTTTGCACCGGCTCCCATGGAGCTGATGACCTGTAACTTCTTATCGTAACAATACTTGATCAAATCAATCTTGGTATTGATGTTATCAATGGCATCCACTACATAATCGGGGTTTCCTCCTAATAATTCATCCACATTATCTGCATTTAATAAATCAATGCAATCTTCCACTTGAACAAAAGGAGCAATTTCCTTGAAATGATTCTTGATACATCTGACTTTGGGAGTGCCCACATCTTCCAAAGTGGCTACTGCATGACGGTTCAGACTACTGAGAGTGACTTGATCGAAATCAATGATACGAATACGTTGCACACCGGATCGCATCAACATTAATGCGGCCCAAGAACCTACACCACCTGCACCAACTACCACCACAAACGATTCTCTTACTTTACGAGCTCCTTCCTCACCCAATAAGGCCGTATTTTTGCTCAACTGTTCTTCTATCAGTTTATCGTCAAATATGATGGGAGGTAAGTTGTAATGTGAACCTTGATTGACAGTTCCCACTGGAGTCAAGTCGATAATGTGGCGTTCTTCGGCTTCCTTCAGTTCGTCCTTGAGTGACCTTGCACGCGAGCGACGTTGACTACTTTGGTAACTCATGATGCTAGTGGCTGTTAATGCAGAGGCTGCCACGGCTGTTAGCGTGAGTTGAACACTATTCGGGTGTTTTTCAAAGAACTGGCCCACAGACTCCGTGAATCGTTCAATAAATGACATGTTTGTATTAATTTAAAAGAGTTATTGTCGAGAAAAAGTTTTTTTTTTGAAGGTGTGGGGCCAAAAGAAAAAAAAAAATGACGTTGAATATAAAAAATTCCAGCCAATCAAATGATAAAGAATGCCACTTACACTGATTTCTCGACGTGTCTTTCAATTAAGCGGGTTCATAAAAAAAGATTTAATTATTTTCCTGCTTGAACACGTCCTTTTTTAACTTTCTTCAAAAAATATCAACTTTTCTCGGGTTTGCATTGAATAAGTGCCTTTTTTTTTTATATTTATATCTCTTTCTTTAATAAAAATTATATAAAAAAATGAGTTATGCCAAAAGAGACGAAGACTCAGGTAATGAAAAAAAAAAAAACATTAGGGGAAAAAAAAGATGAAGAATAACAATATTTATTAAAACACCATCTGTTCACTTAAAAAAGGAGACGTCAATGTCTTTTCTCAAATAAACAAATCAACTGTGCTTCAAGAAGCTCGTGTTTTCAACGACTCACCCATCAATGTTCGAAAGTGTAGATTGTTACTCACAAAGATTATCTATTTGCTTTCATTGGGCGAACCCTTCAACTCACAAGAAGCAACAGATCTTTTCTTCAACGTCATTAAGCTTTTCCAGTCCAAGGATGTAAGTTCCTTTTCCATACCACAACACTGTAGTATTGACCCTCCCCCCCCCTTTTTTTCTAATTTAAAAAAACTATGTAGACCTCTTTAAGACAAATGATGTACCTTGTTATCAAGGAATTATCAGGCATTGCCCAAGATGTTATCATGGTGACTCAATCTTTAATAAAGGACATTCAGTCCAAACAAGAAACTATTTACCGTGCCAATGCTATTCGTGCCTTATGTCTCATTACCGATGTAAGTTTTCAAAGCCTTTGGGAGAGGAGGACTAACTTTTTTTTTATGTAACACTCATTTTTATATTTTTATATTTTATAATATAGCCTTCCATGATCCAAGGTATTGAACGTATCATTAAAGCATCAATTGTGGATAAAAACCCTTCTGTATCTGCCGCTGCACTTGTTTCTTCTTACCACCTCTTTGGTGCCTCCAAAGAGATTGTTCGTCGTTGGGCAACCGAAGTGCAAGAAGCTGCCATCGCTAAACAATCAGGCGGACTTGCGTCAGTCGCATCGAGCTATATCTCTAGTTTTGGCGGTCAGGCTGCTAACCAGTCTCAAGTAGTTCAATCCACCAGCAGTATTGCTCAGTATCATGCCATCGGTCTCTTGTACCTTATCCGTCAACAGGATCGTATGGCTGTGGCTAAATTAGTTCAGACTTTTTCAGGTACTGGTCGCGGTGCCAGTGGAACTTTAAAAAACCCTGCCGCTGTCTGTATTTTAATCCGATATGCTTGTAAAGTCATGGAAGACGAGCCTGGGTAATTCAAAAAAAAATATGATAATGAGCGAATTGTTTGTGGAGGCTAACTTATGTAGGAGTAGATCCACAAAGCGTATCTATGAACTTTTAGAAGGATATTTAAGACACAAGAGTGACATGGTAAACTTGGAAGCCGCTCGTGCTATTTGTGAAATGAAGGACGCTTCTGCCAAAGAGCTTTATCCTGCCATCTCTGGTAAAAAAAAAATCAAAACTTTTATAATATTTGTTAATTGACGCCCCCCTTATAGTTTTGCAACTCTTCTTATCTTCTCCCAAACCTACTTTACGTTTTGCTTCTATCCGTATTTTAAACACGCTTGCTTTATCCAAGCCCACTGCCGTTTCACCCTGTAATTTAGATATCGAGAATTTGGTTGCGGATCAAAACCGTAGTATTGCTACATTTGCCATCACCACTTTACTCAAGACCGGTAACGAAGCCTCCGTGGACCGTTTAATGAAACAAATCTCGAGTTTCATGGGCGAGATCTCGGACGAATTCAAGGTTATTGTGGTCGAAGCCATTCGTTCACTTTGCATGAAGTTCCCCAACAAGCAAGCTGTCATGCTCACCTTTTTAAGCAGTATCTTACGTGACGAAGGAGGTTATGAGTTTAAAAAAGCCGTGGTCGAAGCCATTTTTGATATGGTCCGTTTTATTTCAGACTCCAAGGATGCAGGTAAAATATTGTACAATGTATTTTGGAGATGTAAAAAAAAATTAATTTTATGGGACGGGGAACGTTGTAGCTTTGTCTTATTTATGTGAGTTTATCGAAGACTGTGAATTCACCAAACTTTCAGTGCGTGTTTTACATATGCTTGGAGCTGAAGGACCCAAGACATCCACACCCACCAAGTATATTCGATATATTTACAACCGTGTGATTTTAGAAAACTCCATTATTCGTGGTGCCGCTGTCAGTGCACTTGCCAAATTCGGTGTCAACTGTCCCGACGTGGGTGTAAAGCAAAGTGTGAACGTTTTATTGACCCGTTGTCAAGACGATGTGGATGATGAAGTACGTGATCGTGCTACCTTGGCCCTCGAAATGATGAAAAATGCTGAATTGGCTAAACTTTATTGTGTCGATGATTCTACCTTTGCACTTCCCATCCTCGAGCGTGAATTAGTGGACTATGTGAACCTTCAGGGTAACGAGAAGGCCTTCAATTTGGGGTCGGTGCCTGTCATCAGTAAAGCACAGGAAGATGAAGAGCGTCGTCGTAACAGACCTCAAGATTTGACCACCACATTGTTATCTACAACCCCTGCTTCCTCCTCCACACCTGCCACACCTCAAGCAGATAAGAGCGGAAGAGCAACCAGCCATTTGGATCAACAAGCTGCCTATGCTGAGGCATTATCTGCCATTCCTCAAGTGGCCGCCTTTGGTGCCTTGTTCAAGAGTTCTCCCAAGATTGAAGTCACTGAAAGTGAAACAGAATATACTGTCAATTGTGTCAAACATACTTTTGCCAAACACATTTTGTTCCAATTTAACTGTCTCAACACACTCAATGATCAGTTATTAGAAAATGTTGAAATGGTAATGCAAATTGATGATGAAGAGGCTGGATTAGTTAAAGTGTTGGAGATTCCTGCTTCCAAATTACAATACGATGTTCCTGGTCAGATTTATGTTGCTTATGAAAGAGAAGATGTGGATGATTTCCCCATTGGTGAGTGTTTATGAAAGTTTTTTTTTTATGGTTTTTGTACTGACGCATTGTTAATGTGGGGGGTTTTATAGCTTCATTCACAAACACATTGAAATTTGTCGTCAAGGACTGTGATCCCACTACGGGTGAACCTGATGAAGAGGGATACGAGGACGAATACCAAGTGGAAGATTTAGATTTATTGACCAGCGATTATATCCGACCCACGTATGTATCCAACTTTGAGGAAGAGTTCCAAAGTTATGGAGAGGGAGAAGCAATAGAGACATTGGCTTTAGATCGTGAGAAGGCACCTAGTCTTCAAGCAGCATGTACTGCGATTATAGATTTATTAGGCATGCAACCTCTTGACGATACTTCGTTGCCACGTAATCCTAACGTTCATACATTGATTATGGCTGGTACATTTTTGACAGGAGAAAAGGTGTTGGCAAAATGTCGTATGACGTTTAATTCTACCTCGGGCGTTGCATTTGAAATGGCAGTGAGAAGTGAAGATCTTACTATTTCTCAAATCGTACTTTCTGCTATTGCTTAAAAAAAAAAAATCAAACAAATAAAAAAAAGATTTTGTTTTATTATTATTACTAAAAAAAAAAAATTAAGGAAATCTACATGGCATCGGCATAAAGTTTTGTTAAATCTTCAGGGCCTCCGTCAATTTTAATCCAAGTGACCGGGCACCTTTTGTTTTCGTCGACATAATGATATGCACAAGTGTAACAGAACACGTAACCTGATGGTAACGCTGTTGGATTGTTAATAGGACTTACAAGACATAAGGGACAAGTGTTTGCAGTGGTGGGTAGTTTGGTACCACGTGGATCAGGCTATATATATATATGTGTGTGTTTTTATTTGACATGTTCAAAACTCTATCTATTCTCTCCTACTTTTTTTTTTAATTTACCTTGATTTTATCTGGTGGTGGAATTACAGTTCCTTCTTCATTTGAGCCAGTTCCTCCTCTCGAGAATTCAGAGGAATACCACCATTCCAAGAATTTAAAGAAAAAGATGGACATGGGCAACAAGACCTTTAAAAACTCTACCAGTTTACTAAATACAGCTGTCACAGCACCAAGAGGATTCTTCAACAAGGATAAAGAAGGTGATGCAGTCCCCGCTGACTTATCATAATGATCACGCTTTTTTACATATAAGGGTTAATATACATAGATGTGATGTATGCAGAATAACACGAGTAACTTACATAATCATTCATGCTCATTCGTTTTACTTGTAAACCTAATAAATGCAACCAAGGTGTGTAATATTTTGTTTTCCCAAACAAATAAGCAACATTATAAGCCATATTAGAACCATGATAAACAAAATTCAAGATTGGATAAAGTCTTTTAAAGAGACGCATGAAACGGATAGCCAGTTTTCGCATGCGTGGGGTATCCCCATTTGCCAGTTCCTCGTTCTCGAGTTCCTCTTGTTCATTGTCTCCCAGAATAGAGGATGCAGATCCTCCCGACACTTTCCCGTACAACAAGTCAAGTCTGCTTTTGACATACGGTAAACCTACCAACACCAATAACGACATGCTTATTTCTCTCCTTGTCAACGCAGGCGATGATTGCGATGAGGCACTGAACTGAACCGTATCTAGATGACGAGTGGAGACTCGCTTTAAGCCGTAAAAGTTTTCAGCAAATGAACCTCCTATGGAATGACATGTAATATTTTTCCCATGTGAGCTTTTATCATTAGTCATTCCAATTCACTCTTCTTTAGTTTTTTTTTTTTTACCCCACTCTTTCAAGTAATGACGTTCAACAAGCAGCATTAAAGCAGCATAGAATTCTTCATGGTTATTTACAACTCGTAATAATAGACGGGGATACCTTTGAGCATAAATCTAGAAGAAATAAAAAAAAAAGAGTACTTTAGTATATATGTACATATTATTAAACAAAGAAGGAGGGGGGAGCAGCTGAACATACAGCTAAAGCGTATTGCACAGCAGGCTGCAATAATTCTTTCAGCTTTTCCTGTGCAACCAATTCAAATAAAGAAGGACGATAAGCGTCCTCTTGAGAACCTAAAGCACTCATAAACTCCATGGTGTGTAGATATTAATTTAAAAAAAAGGAGGGTGTGAGGGGAAAAAAGTCAAAATCCTAAGCTGGTAAGTTTTGCTTTGTGCTGCCCTGCCTGACATTTAAAAAAAAAATGACACGTGACTTTTTGAAGTGTGTGTGTGTGTGTGTGATACTGAAAAAAAAAAGTGTTCTGAGTGAAAATGTATTATGCAGTTTCTTGTAAATGCATTCTTGCATGTATTTATCAAGAAAACAAGTTGTTAAAATAAGGGGGTTGTGTATATTTATGATAAAATGTTTAAAAAAAAAAAAAAACGGGTGTTGAAAACAAGAAATGTTAAATTCAAGCCGCTCAAGTCACGGAAGTGTCTACCAATGATGTCCATGTTTTTTTTGTATTTTTTTTTTTTTTGTATATACCTTCAATTTTTTTTTAATTTCTTATATTTTTCTTCTTCTTCTTCATTCTTTTTTTTCATTCGAAAAAATTAGATTATAAACCATTTATATTTTTTAAAAAAAGGTATGACAGGGTGGTGGTGGTGGAGGCATAGTTACGGTTGTATTTATCAACGAATGATTTCTATGCTTTTAGATTTAAACCATGAGAGAGATTATTCACGTTCAAGCTGGTCAGTAAATATCAAAATAGCTCAATGTTTAGAGTAAAAACTCATAAAATTTCTTTATATATATATAGGTCAGTGTGGTAACCAAGTAAGTTGGAAACATTAGTATTCATGCTCTTTTTTGAAAGAAGGGCACATCCCTCAGTGGAGAAGGGAGATTATATATATATATATATCTATGCACGTGTACATGTTTGTTTATTGACTTTTTTTTTCTGTATAGATTGGTCAAAAGTTCTGGGAAACTATCTCACAAGAACATGGTATTGATACCAACGGTAATTACGGTGGTGATAATGATCTTCAGTTGGAGCGTATCAATGTCTTTTATAATGAAGGTTCTCAAGGCAAATATGTCCCAAGGTAATCTTTTATATCCTCCCTTTTTCAGAATATAAAATTGTTCCTAAATAAAAACCTCCTTTAATATGTAGAGCTATTCTTGTGGATCTCGAACCTGCCACGATGGATGCAATCCGTGGTAGCCCTTACGGTAAAATCTTTCGCCCTGATAACTTTATCAATGCTCAATCTGGTGCTGGTAACTCCTGGGCAAAGGGATATTATACAGAAGGAGCAGAGCTTGTAGAATCTATCATGGATGTCATTCGTAAAGAAGCAGAGAATACAGATTGCCTTCAAGGTTTCCAACTTTGTCATTCCCTTGGTGGTGGTACAGGTTCTGGTCTGGGTTCTCTTTTACTCTCCAAGATTCGTGAAGAATACCCCGATCGTATTTTGAGTACCTACTCTGTTGTACCCTCGCCTAAAGTATCCGACACTGTTGTTGAACCTTATAATGCTGTATTATCCGTTCATCAATTGGTTGAAAATTGTGATGCCACTTTTTGTATTGATAATGAAGCTCTTTATGATATTTGCTTTAGAACTCTCAAATTAACTAACCCTGGTTACGGTGATTTAAACCAACTTGTCTCGGCTGTCATGTCCGGTGTCTCCACTAGTCTTCGTTTCCCTGGTCAATTAAACTCTGACTTACGTAAGCTTTGTGTCAACATGGTTCCCTTCCCTCGTCTTCATTTCTTTATGGTTGGTGTAGCTCCTCTCACTGCTTTTGGATCTCAACAATATCGTAACTTGAGTGTTCCAGAGTTAACAGCTCAAATGTTTGATGCACGTAATATGATGGCTGCATCAGATCCTCGTCATGGTCGTTATTTAACTGCCGCCACTATCTTCCGTGGTCGTCTTTCCACAAAGGAAGTTGAGAACCAAATGTTGGCTGTTCAACAAAAGAACTCTTCTTACTTTGTTGAATGGATTCCTAACAGTGTCAAGACTTCTCTTTGTGATATTCCTCCTGTTGGTCTCAAGATGTCTGGTACATTTATTGGTAACAGTACTGCTATTCAAGACTTGTTTAAGCGTGTCAATGAGCAATTCACAGCCATGTTCAGAAGAAAGGCTTTCTTGCATTGGTACACAGGTGAAGGTATGGACGAAATGGAGTTCACTGAGGCGGAGTCTAATATGAACGATTTGGTCTCCGAATATCAACAATATCAAGAAGCTACTATCGATGAAGATTATGTTGAGGATGAAGAGGATTATGTAGAGGAAGATGATGTTTTGGAAGAATAAGAGTTTCTTTTCTTTATGCTGTTTTCTCTTTTTTTCTACCAATATCCCCCCACACACAACATCCTTTCTCTCTCTCTCTTGTTTAATTGTCAAAAAAAAAAAAAAAAAAAAAAAAATTACATACATCCAAAAAAAAACCCCCCAACCACCAATTATAATTCAACAAAGAGAGATGCACACGAGAAATCATACCTGAAAAAGAAAAAAAAAATATGCATTTCAAAATAAAAAAGACCGGAGTAGCAAAAAAACTTGTTTTTTTTAACAGGTCGTATCACATTTTTGAGTCACTTTTGTATCATCCCGAGTATAAATCATTGTTTGTTGTTGCCTGGGTTCACACAGTTTTTTTTTAGACCCGAATCTTTTTGATATTAATATATCTAGCAAATAAACTTCTCATGAGATGTTTTCTAACACAGACTCAGTCAAACACTTGTCACAGCCTCATTCCGCCTGCTTATCATATAATAGTACAAAGTTTAGAGGAGTTTTATGTGTCCACCCCCAAAAAAAAAGAGTGCTTAAGTAGAAGTCAAGGTAGACTGTTTCAATATTAGCTAGTGGTAGTAGTAGTAGTAAGTACACAACCAGTTGAAAATTTTAATTTTTATGCTAGTTTACTTTTTTGGACAAAATGTAAGGGACAAACATTGCTTTTTTTTTTACCTGTAATGATCTTAATCCTTAATTAAAAGGAAACCGTGTTTGATACGGCGATACGATAATGGGAAAATATTAGGCTTACTGTTTAGTTTTTTTTTGGGTTTAAAAGCCTCTGGTCTTCCTTCGCCTGACCAAATCGCCTTTGAGATAATTATCATATTTCTGGCAGCATTCACATCCCTTTAACACACCTTTTCACATTTTTGACAGCAAAGAACTCCACTACCCTTGAAGCCGGGGGTTTTAATCACCTTCAGGTCATCAAAATAACATTGAATGCATAATTTGGATGTTTTATATTCGGCGATCAACTCACCTGCAGCTTCACGCTTTTTTTTTTAATGATCTCCACATAACTCCCAGTCACGCCACACATAAGACCCTTCAGCTTAACCAGGTTCTTTCCAAACATTCCTGCCCCAAAGACTACCAGTAGAACCTTAGATTTATATTTTTTATACAGAAGTGGTTTCCACTTATTTGGTCTTTCCGAGCAAAAGGATTAACAATTACATAAATATATTTTTTTTTTAAAAAAAATGGGTTACCTACTTCTTATCAGTTGTATTTTTCATATCAACCTTGGCATCTCTCTTCTTAAACTTCTTTCTTCGCTTTTTCATTTTCTTCTTGTCTCTTTAACGTTTGTTATACTTTGAAGTACCGTGTACCAAAATGTTCACCATCGCTTCAGCAGCTCGCTGTCTTCCTTGATATAGAAAGAATCTGCCTTTTGTTGTACCAAATCAGGGAGACTTATTATATACGCATTGTCAAACTGAAAAATAAAAATTTAACAATTGTTCTTTTTGTTTTGTTGATTTATTAATCTGATTGTCGTTCGACAAAAACGCACGCTCCTTTGGAAGTACTCTAATGCAGTGGAACGTGTTGTGTTTTAAGGTAAAGTAAAATTATAAAAAGACTATAGGAGTAGTTTGAGACTGTTTATAAGATGTCTTTTTTAATAATTAATAAATGAAATATACGAGTATTTATATAAAAGACTGTCTGCTGTGATTCATATCTCTAGTGGCTATCTTGAAGTTATCATTGATTAACCAAAAATCCATACGACTATTACATAGTCACTATTTTAGTCTTGTTCTAATAAATGTGAAGTCTTCTTAACTCTCTTTGCTTTAAACTAAATTTTAAGTATTTATCAGACGTACTAAATTAGACTTGTGATGTAATATCCTTATAGTTCTTACTATGACGTTTATTGTTAAGCTTATATCATAAATGGTATCAGCATGGATAAACCTTTGTTAGCTCTAATATGGTTATAGCCTTGCTAGGTCACCACAGAACGAAGCGATGCCAAGCTGTTAAATACCTGTCCAGTGGGAAAGGTTTCGTAGAATTCAATTAAGATTGGACTATTTTTATCCATTTCATTAGTGGGTTCTGGGGAGAGATCAGCCTTTATTTCTGGTGTTAATAATTGAAGTGATATTGCTGGTGCATTATCAAACGGCCTTGCTGGAGGATGTCTTTTAGTATAACATACGATAATAAAAGCTTTGAATCGCAGGAACTTCCCCCACTGCCGTGACCACAGACTATGTCTCCACATCACCATCCTCGAATTGATCATCAAATCCTCCTAGCTCCGCTTCAGCCGTTTTAAGCTTGATCAGCTCTTCAATCTCCCTTTCCGTAACACTCTAAGGTCCCCTACTTTGAGTACCTAGTGGATGATCAACAGTTATTTTTAATAGTTTTAAAAGTATCATCAATTAAACCTTTACATACCTGTAGGTGATTCCGCATTTTTGAATCTCCCAAAAAAGCGTCTGGAGTGAATTGGAGTCACGGCCACTTGATTGTTTCCGGCTTCATTTTGGCTGGCAACGTCAACCATTCTCTTCATGAATACAGCTTAATGAAAATTTAAAAGAACATTCAGGTGACTGAAAATGTGTTGGATATAATTTCTGTATGTATTGACATCTGCAGTTTTTGTTGTAGGCGTCCCAGTCTCAATCGCCTTTACCCCATTCTCTTGCTTTCTCTAACGGGTTTTCTTCTGGATTTTTACTTTTACTTTTATATGACGACAGGATAAAAGCTAAAAACGAAATGAAGCTTTCTGGAGATTTTGATAAGGTGACCAAAGTAACTTTTGTGGGGAGCAGCTTCTTTAGAGGCAAGCATATCTCCTGGATTTTTAATTTTTGGTCTTCACTCAGAATGTTGTCCGTGATACCCCAGCTAGGCTCACCGCCACAGATAAATTGATAACAATAATTAATCACAATCTTGTCCACATCTCGTGGTTCTATGGGTTAGAACATACAAACAGGTTAGATTCGGAAACAAAATAGTAGTTACAACTATGGCTTACCGTCAACTCCTTTTGTAAACAGTACTTTAAATACTGAATGACTCTACTCTCAAAATTTTTCAGCAACATGATTTGTATATGAAGTTGCAATTTCTACACAAGGCCGCCGTCAATAAATCGCTTGCGTCTTTTGGAGGGGCTTCTTTGTATATTGCAAATGGATATAAGGAACGAAGTTTGTTCCAAAGAGTCAAAAGTTGCTCATTAACATGTACACTGCTTGTGACCTTGCGCGAGCCTACTAATTGACATAACGAGTACCTGTAGTTTTGTTGGAATATAGAATTTGGAATACAGTCAATATTTTGAAGACAGTAGTAATTGTTGAAAACCATAGCTCTAATCACAATCTGTCTTATGTATATTGATGTGGCCAAGACTTTGTTCCTTAACGTATCTTTATAAGTATCATTAACGATTTCATTAAAAGGAATTTTGCGGTTATAGGCTTGATAGTTGGCACTTAGATTATCTTGCAGTACATCCTTTTTAGAAGGATTGTAATTGGGGCAATCTTTGTACCTTTGTTAATGGCCTGTTTGTTTGCAACTTCTACAAACTTCGGCTGTCGGGCCCGGGTTAATCTTTCTTCTCTTCGCTTGACGTTTTTCAGATTTAACAGTAAAACTTATTGCTTTCTTTTTTTTTGGTAGAGGAGGAGCCCACTTTAAACATGTTAAAATATAGCACTACAAACAGTACACATTATCACAAAATTACCATCATTTGCAGAAGCTTCTCTGTAGAACAAGCAATTGAAATATTATTTGTTCACATGCCCTTCTTCATAGCGATCTGTACAGGTCATTTCTGTAATATATATATACGTTGAGTCTACGTTAGTTGTTTACTTGTAAAGCTTTACCTTTGAAACGATCGTCATCTTCTCTTGTATTTATTTTAGATAGAACGTCTCTTTTCTTCTCCGTAACAACTTTTTAATCATGTTGCACTTAAAGAAAGGTAAAATAACATTTGACCACATTTTCGGTTTATATCAAAAAGAAAAGAGAGGCATCCAAAATCATATTCAACAGATAAAATAAATTGTTTTTTAGCCAATAATGTCAACTTGTTTTGAATGCTGTATTTTATCATTGCTATTTTTCTGGACGATTAAAAATTGATTAAATGCTTTTTCCCTTTTCTTCAATAAGATCGCTGTATAATTATTATCGATGATGCTACCCTTCTAATTTATCCAGAGGTTTAAGCTTGTACACGACATTAAATACCAAAAGAAAAAAACGTTTTTTATGATAATAGCTCAGTCCACTTAGAGCTGTCTACTTTAGCCTCCAAGTAGAGATATTAAACAGATATAAGGGTACGTTTTCATTCTTTTTTTGTCATAATAATTCTATGCTAACACGCGTTTCATTTTAATTTTAGTTCCCTTTTTCGTGTTTTGAAGATGTAATTTTCATCATCCTTTTATTATATACAGGCAATTAACATCATTCACGTATTTTTAGTATAATTATTTTTACTCCAGTAAGGTAAAAATAAAATAAAATTACTACTTCTTTTGGATTGTTTTACTTACCATCATTATTATTATTTAGTTATACAATGTATAAGAACGTTAAACGCGGTTTAAAAGGTAGGCCTAAGTATTAAGCAAAACATTAGCATGTCTTTTGTGTATAGTCTGATTATCAGAAGCAAATCTATTTTGTCTTTACCGAATTCGCTGCAATACGCTCATCGAATTTTGCCGGCACAAACTTTTTATCATTTTAATAAACTATTTCTTTTATGGCATTTTTGAGCTCTCAACAATATTCTATTTTACATTTTTTAAAACTTTGGAGCAGTGTTTATTTGTTTTTTTCGTGTGATTGTTGTGAGTCGCACAAAAATTGCTAAAGCGAAAAAGGAATATTTGGAGATTTTCAACTGGTTGTGTAGGCGTAAACCCGGAGTGCAAATTGATAGCACCCACAAAGTACAACTGTATAATAAAAACCAATAATATATAAATGTCCTATAGTTTGTCTGATTTTGAAATAAGGGCACACATGTAATTATGCGATCTATATATTTTTTTATTTTCGTCGTTTAGGCGGAAGAACTAAAAAACTATCGACCATCGATTGTCGTGCGGTGACAGACTTCTTGGGTCGGTTTTGATATTTTAAGGCAGCAGCAGGGTATATTCTGTGTATTTGTGCTGCATCCACCCATTGTCTCTTAACAACCAAAAAAGGATCCGTCTTAACCATCTCACCACACTCAACGGCCTCGTCGTCATCATCGTCTATCACCACATCATGGCGAAAAGCCTGAAAATCTAGATTTAGTTTGAGCCTATTCTGAAACGTCTCCCAACTGGATTTGTCCCATTCAACCCGATAAAGTTTAATGTTGTCACTGGCTATTTTGGAACCAGAGATCTGGACCAAATCGCTACCCTTTTCACTCATTTGGTGTAACCGTGGTGTCGCCCGATAAAATTCATCCAACGTCCGTTGTTTCCTGTCCACACGACTAGGTTGCGAATTACTCACACTGGAAGAAGTTCGAAGTGGGTGTATCGGTACTGTTGGGATTCTTCTTCTACGTAAAGAATTCGCCATATAACCTGGGTACAACAACGCTGAGAACCTTTTCAAGACATAGTCTGCAGGCCATTTAAACTGGAGTTGAGCAAATGCAGCAAGGTTCACCCAATCAGGTTCATGTCGTCTATCTAAATTCGCTTCGAGTTCTTTAGCAGCTGTCATCAGGCCTTCGTCCTTGGCAATACCAATGTTTGTCTTTGGATGAATGAAATCTTGGACAATAGAAAAATCAAAAAATTTGGAGTCTAAATCTACATTGCGTCTTCGATTGAGGTTCTTTGTGCTGTTGTTATGTAATTCATACGTTAATGAGTCAAACAAATGTTGTACGCGTTCCTCATCCAAAGGTGTCTCTCTGCCAAAACGTTGAATATCATCCATCAATGCACGATGAAAATGACATTTGGCAAGCTGTCCTGATAATCCAATACCAACACCTCTAGTACCACTTGTATCATAATCACAACCTCGAAGCAAAGCTACCAAAATCAGGTCCGATCTATCCCAACCCGTCATGTCTGTGATCCAAGTCTGGTCATAACATGATAGAGGCTCGTTTCGCTTGGATGGCCAATGTCTCACCACACGTCGTGCACCAAACAAAAGCACATCACTGTCACCCGTAAATACCATATCTACATACCCTAGTCTTTCTAGCATGGCACATTCGGCTTCGGCTTCACCATATGCCTCCCACATGGAGAAATTAAAAAGTCGAATCAGACCCTTCAATCCTCTTCCAAAGGTGGTCTCAAAGGGCATCGTTTGAATAATCTTGTTTCGTTTCTTGTTGGGTCGATTCGGTCCATCAAATACAAACACAGGTCGGATGCCTAACTCGTATAACCGACAAAATCGAAAAAACACTGATCTTAATTCACTAGAGCTATTTTTTTGTTACAGTGGTATTAATGTATTTATAGTAATAATAATAATAATAATAAATGGGGGGCCACTTTACTCTCCAACCACGCTTGCTCTTGCCTGGAAAGTCCATAACGCAACATCAATGGCGACTCTTAATCCTCTTTCTTTTTTTATTTCGGTCCAGTTACTGAGTTGTTCTAAACTGTATTTTTTTTCACTGTCGGCAATTAGCTTCCAGAGATCAACCACGCCCATATTCTATTGCCCTCAAAAAAAAAAAAAAAAAAGACACTGTGAGGGAAATTCCCCCCTTTTTTTTATGCCGGACATTATCTATTTTCCGTCCCTCTGGAACATGCCCTCTCTCCCCACAAAAAAGTTTGGGTTACATGGGCAAATAAAATAAAAAAAATGCATTTGTATTGAACAAAAAGCGCCCCACTTTCTAGTAGCGTCATTTCCCTTAATGGATATACTCCCACAAGTCTTTTGTGCGTTGTTATAGGGAGGGGGGGTAGTTTACAAATTTTTATAGAGTAAATAGATTGATACACTTTTTTTAAAACAAAAAAGTGAGGTAGGAAAAGCATTAAATGAATAAGTAATAATAGTAGGAGTAGCAAGTTGATCGTGGTTGAAGGAGTACGAAGAGAATTAAATTAAGTCATCAAACGTAACCCGGAAGCAGATGATCCGATTTGAGAAACCTCACAAACAGTACACACCTTGCCTGCGTATTCAGGCTTATAAGAAGCTTGACAGAAAGGACAAGTGGATTTGGGAGATCCCTTATAAATAGGCTCAAAGGACAATCCACATACCACAAACGGATTATATTGATCATAATCTAAAGTCACCTCGTCACGCAAATTACGTTCACACACTGCAAGAATTTGACGTGCCTAATGATTAATAAAAGAGGTTAACAATGAATACAAACTATACCCTCTATCCTTTTATATATATATATATATATATATATCTGTCTATATGTTGTTTACCTCGTCAGCAATCTTTTTGGGTGGAGCTAATTCTAACAGTCTCTGAGAGAATTGAGCTGCAGTATTGAAATTCTTGAGCTTGAACGCTTGTTTGGCAGCTTGACGCAAAGCCAGTTGCAAATGAGGTGTTTGTAATTGACAATGGGTAAAATACGCAGCAAGTTCCAATGCTCGCTTTGTATTATTGGGTTCGCTAGCAGTAATTGATCGACGTTGTTGTTCAACAGCTAAACCCATCAGATACTCACGACAGATCTGAACCAATTGCAGCGCTTCTTCTAAATCGTCCTTTGTCTTTACAATCGTAAACAAAAGTGAGTGTAATAAGGTCTTGAATTGCGTTGCACTGGCGGGGAGTCGACCACCCGAAAACAATTTGTAGGCTGATTGGAGTTGCACAGAGATCAAATTTTGCAAGTGATACACAATCACAGGTGAACTCTTCACAATGTTGGCTACTTCAGCATCCCTACGAAGATGGAAGGCCAATGAAGGGTTAGATGCATTGGATGCAACAAAAGTACGAGTGGATTGATAAATTGACATAAAGTGAGATTTCAAGGGTGCAAAATTCACAGCTCCCACTTGTTGATTTAGGATCTTAGATAATAATAAAAATTTGATGTTAGCATTCCTCTCCCAATCATTTCTTGGGCTACTTCGCTTTGATTTATGTGTTTACCTGCATAGCATGATCAAATGAGCCTGCTGCAACGTGATCTGCTGCCAATGGTGACATCTTAACCCATAATGCTGTTTCAGAAAGTCCCGATTCAGGCACAACAAATTCTGCGGTTTCCTTGGCAGCAACGTTACTTATTTCAGCGTCAATATCGGCACGAATATCAGCATCATCATCCCATCCACCTCCTTCATGGTCAGAATCAATGGGCAAGTCATCATCATGATGGGCATGATGTTGTGTAGACACACCAAAAACATTATCCGTATCCTCATCCGCACCCCAATCACCACTTGCCTCTTCAATATTATCAATGCCTTCATCGTAACCAAATGCTGGTCCAGTAGAACCCGTGTTACCAGTGTTCTTATCCTTTGCAAATACCCCTTCAAAGAAACTCTTGGATACAGTCAAAAGTGGCCAATTAGGATCCTTCAATGGTGTAAGAGGTGTGCTTAACAAAGATGAGGCCAAGGTTGATGATGTATCCTCTTCAGGCAATTCGATATCGAGCTCTGTCTTTCCAGCAGCAGCCAAAATGGCATCCGCTTGTTCCGTCAAACCATACGATTTAGCCGTTAAATAAGCCAAAGGAATCTGTCCAACATCCTGAAGCACACGTATTCTCTCCATGGCGTCACCCAAGTAGGTAGCATTTTGAAATCTCGACATGGGATCACCACGAAGTTGAGAAATTTTTAACATTTGACGCAAGTTTGTTTCGTTGGCACTGGCAAGATAAAGAAACGAAAGACGATCGAAATTCTTGGCACGCTGATAAGCAAGTTCCACAATTTTAAAATTACCGTGTTTTAAAGCCTCGGAAGCCAATTTAACCCACTGTTCCTTCTTATCCAGATTTTGTGCTGATTCATAAGCAATGTCCAAATTTCCACATTCTAACGCAAGTTCGAAGCGAGTGATATCGTCCTTGACAAAATGAAGTGCAATTTCTGGGTATCCCTTCTTTTGCAAATACCCAATGATGGCTTGACCTACCAAATTGGAAGTACGAATAATATGCAATACTTCTTCATATTGTCGTTTAGCTAAAGCTAATTTGAATTTAAATTCGGTAGGGTCGATCTCCAATTTTCCAGGCTTTCCATTTCTACCAAGGACATGGAGTGTTTTCCCTTGTACTTTGGTCATATACACAGGTTGCTCGAGGGTACGAATAATACCATTGTCTCTATTTTTTTTTTTTTTAAAAAAATCCTGATTAATTCTATAGAAAAATAAAAAAATTCGTCTCTTTTTCTTTCTTTCTTACCCTTCAGGTAATGCATATTTAATATGATTCAAAGTACAGTACAAGAATACACCGGAATTGTCCCAGATACCACTTTTAATTCGAATCGTCTCATGTGTTTGACTAATCAATTTCAAATTCTTATCCACGATGGTCACCATATGTTTACTCAAAAGTGCTGCCATCGAAAGATCATCGGACCAAACCACATATTTTACTGATACTGCATCCACTTCCGCAATAACTCGTCGTTGTTGGATATCAAACAAAAATACACTGGAACTATTGGCAATCAATAACGATCCAGCACCGGCATAAAATATATCTGTCACACCCGCTGCAGGAGGCTTGAATGACTTGGTAACGATATTGGATAAATCACGGATTTCAATCTGTTGGTTCTCTTTATCAAAGACTGCAAATCGATTTCGAGCAATAAATAAGGCGTTGTATCCTTTTCCTCGTTTGGATTCGTCACTGGGTTCTGGAAGGGCGCCGGTGGTTGATTTGGGTAATCGGTACAGTTCATATAATCCACCTTTTTCCAACTATATAAATAGAAAAAAAAGTTAGACAACCTGCCATAACAAAGTGGGATTCCTTGTTGCTGTTGTTACTTTACAGTGGTAACAAGTACTGTACGCTCCGCAGGGTTGTAAGATAAATTACGAGGCTGAATAAATTGAGAACCTAATTTCTTGACGCTCAAAAGTTCCTGACTTGAAGAAGTCAAAAGATCGTGCATCTGAAGCACTTTTTTCTCGACATGGAATAATTGGTTATCGCTGACTTGAAAAGCAGGTCTTTCGCGTTCCAATTTAAAGACGATCAAACCATTGTCATGTCCTGCTGCAAACAAGTTTAGCTCAGGATGAGACGCAAGAACCCAGAAACGATCTTGATCACGCTTAAATGTAGCAACCGAGGTTCGTTTGGTAAGATCCCATACCCGGATTGATCGATCCTCGCCGGCTGATAAAATAAGCTCTTGCTTGGGATGGAAAATTGCACTTGATACGCCGTTTGATGATCCTCGACAGCTGTCTACTTCCCATGCCTTGACATCTATTTTATTATAATGTGAATATGTCTATGCAATGCCAAATAATTCTCCTGGTTTTTTTTTACCATTCATTCTCCAAAGTTTCACTTGACGATCTTCAGCAGCAGATATAATAAGAGGTAAAGTAGGATGAAAAGAAACCCAATTCACACCATGATCATGACCTTCAAGCACATACTTGACCATGACATCCATGGATCCAAATAAATCCGCCTGAGGATTGCCAGGAGCAAAAGAGGTGTCAAAGGACATGGGAGCAGGAGATTTATTCTTTTTCACCAAACCCGAGATATCCCATACGCGTACCGTTTGATCAGTTGAGGAAGACACAATGAGATCCTGTTTTGGGTGGAATTGAGCACAGGTCACATAATGATTATGACCTGTCAAGATAGCAATACAATTTCTAGACTGCCAATTCCAAATTCGAATCGTTTGATCGTCTGAGGCTGAAATAATCCAAGGATATTCATGATGAAAGAAAACAGTGCGAATATAATCCATGTGTCCATTCAATGTAAACAAGCATTTTTTGGTCTTGTAGTTCCATACCCTAATCTTATAATCATCTCCACCAGATACAAAAAGTGGTTGCGTTGAATGAAAGGAAACACCACGTACAGGCCCTGATTCTTTTAATTAATGCATTATTCTAACCTCAGACCTTCTCTTTTTTTAATTTTTTTACCGTCATGCTCTTCAAATCTCTCCATTAATGTTCCCATTCGGTAATCCCATAACTGTATACAGCCGTTATGCAGTGACGCTAAAATCCAGGGTCTCTTTGGGTGAAAAGATATACCTTTTACTCGGTTACTTTTCGATTCAAACTATAAATACAAAAAAATGTTACAACTTTGGTCCTTGCCCTCATTTTTTTTTTCTCGCCCCAAACCTTTGTCAACATATTCATGGCCATTTTCATAACTCCCTACTGTAAAAAAAAAAAAATTAAAGAATACAGTCCTGTCACTGTTAGAAGTCTACATTTCATGCTGGACAATGTTTTTTTGGTTGCACCTTTTTATTGTTATTAAAACGAGATGAAAGAGATGAGACACGTGTAAAAAGAAATAATCACCCAAAAGATTGAATTTCCGTTCATTAAATGGTTTTGGACTGACGGGGCCAATTGAATTATCGTAGCACTTGATGTTCAAGCGTTCACAATAAATGCTGCAGTTTGACAACCGAGAATCAGGGTGTGTGTAAGATCGGGTATACCTTGTTCTGCGCCACTGTTTCCCTTGACCACTTATGGACAGCGAAGGGGTTACCCGATTCCTTTTAGATGCGACTACGCGCACCTTGGACAAAGGAACAAATAAAAAAAAAAAATTACTGATATCCGTTTATACGCTTCAATCTTCTGAATCGTTGTTAGGCAATCAAAAGGTACATCACTACAAGTGCTTTACTTGTGGCGTACTATTTTTTCTGGTACCGTAGTTATTCTCGATTTAAATACAAAGTTCGTATCCTTTGACATTTGTAACAAATCCGGTCGAATTGTCACCGAGGCTTCCGCCATAGTGATGGACCTAAGTAGCTGGCACGACAGGATTTTTTGTAATTACATTCATGGTTTTTTTTTTGGGGGGGGGGGAATAAAGAAAAATGCGATCTGTCTGAATTCCTATTGGAAATACTGTATATAAGATTTATCCTAATTGGGTTTGTTTTGTTTATACTTCGAAACTGACGAATGCCATACGTGAAAAGAAAAGCAATTTTTTGGGACTTGACTACTTATGTACCAACTCGGTTAAAAAAAGTCATTGACAAAGATATAGAAACTAATCAACTATCAAGTAGTAGAGAATATCATAATTTAGGTTTTGTTTGTAGAGTAAATGTAACGAGAATAACCAAGCAGTATAAAATTGAGTTTATTGAATGTAAATTTAGAAATACTTTGCTTTTAAAAGTGGCCAAAGCCAGTACCAGGTGTACTTTGATCTTTAGAACAGCAGGAACCCATAGTTGATATATATAATTATTATTTTCTTTTGGTGAAATAAAAAGGAAAATTAAAAATAGTCAAAACGTCTTTCTTTTATAAGAAATCCTTTGTTATCCATGCATCCTGTATTGGGGTTTCTTTACCTTGTGATAATACGCTGTTTTAAAGTCCTCTTTTCTTCTTCTCTTTATTAAAATCTGTCGCTTTTATTTTCTCAAGACAAAAATTGTGTTCTTTATTTTAGGTCATTGTTGACATATGCTGGTGAAAAGACAATCGACATTTTTTTGTACTGTTCAATGTGTCTCTTTGTTCAAGTTTAGTTAGCGTTACAAAAAAGTACTATTGTCTATGATTTAACGATGACTTTTTTTTTTTTTTTTTTTTTTTTTTTTTTTTTTCAAACAAAGTACAAAGATAGAAGTATGCAAGCCTTATGACCTCTTTTTTAATATTAGTCTTACTGCTTGGTAATAATTATATAATTTTCTTAACCGATTGCTACTACGTCGCGTCTGTACAGGTTTATTATTACTTTCATTGTCATTAAGTCTTTTTCTTTTATTATAATTATGCGTGTTGTCACCATTATTTCTTGGAGCAATCTTATTCATTTTTAGATTCGTGTTAGAATTCTTTACCAGCTTACTATAACGTTCTTGAGTAAGCCTTTCGACTTCTCTTACTTTATCCCAATATGTTTTTATCGTGTTTGGAGACGAAAATGCCGAAGTCTTTAGCCACAAATTTTCTCGTTCACCATAACCGATCCATTTAACAAGGTATTCGCGTTCGCCATCAGAACCCTGTCTGTGATCTCGAATTTCTTGAACTTCATACAATTCATCTATATTTGTCTCATCGATGGATACAACTTTCAGTTCTGACGGCACATAGTCTCGATGCAGTAACTCGTTCATCTCATCCTTCAGCACATGCGTACCCGCTTGCGTCTTTCTTACCACAGTGTATGGTCCTTCATAAAGAGGAGATAATTTCGTTGCTCGATTAGGCAATTTTACTATCACTGCTGTGCCGACTGCAATGTCAATTAGGTAGTGTTTCGTATTGAACCTTTTACTTTGTTCCTCTACTAATCTCTGTGTTCGTTCGTGGATAGCAGGAAACACTATTGTAGCCATTATTTCAGCCCTATTTATCAACTCTTCTTCAGATGTCAATTTAGTTGGAATGGTCTTATTTATTTTGGGATCTGTATAGTCCTTAGGTTTATTCAATTGTCGAGCAAACATGAGAGAGAATGGGCTACTACCAGTTCGGTTACGAATCTTGTAGTTACAACATAACTGAGCAGCAGGAAGCAATTCATCCCATCTACTAGTATCATTACCACACAATTTTCTCACTGTATTGACGATCACTTTAACTGCATTTTCGGCAGCCCCATTACCACGAGGATGATAAGGAGTGGAGAATCTATGATCAATGCCTAGCGATCTAGTAACGGTTGTCATCAATCCATTTAAATAGTCACGAGCATTGTCAGATTGACATCGTACGGGTAGACCATAATCACCAAACACTTGGCATAGTGTCGCAGCCATAGTATCACTTTGTTTATTTTTAATTGGGCGAGCTATGATGTATTTCGTGCAAAGATCCACTATGACAAAGATATACACATTTTGATTTTGTGTTACCGAAAATGGTCCCGCTAGATCCATTGCTATATGTGTAAATGGATCACTACTAACAATTGGTCTTAATGGATGATATCCTTTCTTTGCTACATTATGCCTAGCACAATCTATGCAACTACGAAGTATCTCCTTACTTTCATCATATATTCCATGCCAATGCAATCCGTCTTCATGAATCCTTTGGACGATACTTTCTGAACCAAAGTGACCAAGCAGATATGCTTCCCTTAATAACTTGTCTCTCTCTTCCGTAGGAGGAGCAACGTAATCAGTGTGAGATTCTTTGAAGGTTTTACTATTTAGTCTTACAGCAAGTACATGTAAGTTCTTGTCTGTGCTATATATTTGTTCCTTTCTAATAAATTGATCGTTTGCTTTTCTTACAACATTATTTATTTTATCATTTGGTAAACGTCTTTGTAACATACATTTTTCTAATTTTATAATTTTCTTCTCTTCATCCCCCAGCAGAGTTTTATCCTCGGGTATCGGTGGATAAACTCGACTTAAAGTATCAGGAAGAATATTGTTAATACCTTTCAAGTGTAAAACAGTAAAATTAAAATCATTCAAAACCTCCATATAATTTTGAAGTGTTCTGCAAGCGTTGTAGAGGTTTGCATGTAAACCAAGCTACGATGATCAGTACGTACTTCAATATCAGGATGCCCCCATAACAAGGGTCGGAATTTTTCAAAGCCGTAGACCACACCATAAGTTTCTTTACGATTCGTAGACCACTGTAACTGATGCTTATCAAATGCTTTGCTCACAAATGCAATATGTAATGTCCGTCCATGTTCGTCTCTTTGTGTTAATGCTGCAGCTGTAGCGTATAAACTGCTATCAGTCTCTAAATAGAATTATCGATCCATTCTAGGAGTGTGTAACACAGCATCTGATAGGATAATATCCTTAAGCGTCTGAAACCTCTCTGAATGCAATGATGTCCATTGAAATTCTTTATCCTTGCAATGTCTTAAAGCATTGATAGGCGCAGCCACTTTCGATATCATTGGAATGAATTCGTGTAAGTAGGTGATAAACCCCATTAATTTTCTTACATCAGCACTATTTTTAGGTGTCTTCCAAGCATCAAGATTGCTCAAACGTCTGGTATCGATCTTTCTAATGCCCGCTCCGACGGTAAAACCAAGGATGTAGATAGAAGTCTTAAACCATGTACATTTGTCAAAGTTGATCTTCAGGTTCACTGAAGTCAATCTATCAATTGCCATTTTTACCAAAGCTGCATGATCTTCCGGATTTGAATAGATGCAGCAATCGTCAACATACGTTTGAACACCTTCCATTCCTTGAAATAAAAGATTGATCACCCGACAGTAGAGACTTGTTACAAATTTTAATCCAAAACAACATCCAACCCATTTATACGTTTTATTGTTTACTGTAAATGACAATACCTCTTGGCTTGCATCAGCAACCTTAAAAGAGTGATACGCATTTTTCAAATCTAATTTAGTGAAAACCTGTCCTTTAGCAGTGACTTCATCAAAGATATCCTTTATGTTGGGTACAGCAAAATCTTGGATATTTTTCTCGTCGATGTTTAAATTACATCTACGCAGATCCATAACGATACGATGTTTGGTAAAATTATTATTAGCATCACGTTTAGGGATAGCTAGTAACGGTGTATTGTGTTTGGCGCTAGGCTCACATTCAACTACAACCCCTGTATCTAACCACTCTTGTAATTGCTTTTCAATTTCTGGTCTAGCATGATAAGGTAATGGATATTGTCTAACATAGCAATTCGTAGCATTCTCCTTAATAGGGATATGCACAATCGATTCCTTCATGGTACAAAACGATCCAGCTTTAATTAATTTATTTTGGTCTATAGAATTTTGGATATGATCCATAAATTTCTTTTGAACTTCCGGTGAACCATAGGTAGCATCCTCTGGATTGCAATTGGATTTAGTGTCAAAGTTTACATTTTCAAACTGAGCATCTTCTTTATTTATATCTTTTGGGTAGCAATGAGCAACTCCAGTAAGACCAATTCGCAAACGAGGCAATATATCAGTTCCCAATAAAATATCAAATTCAGTTTCCATTACACTACTAAACTCAACTACTTCGAAAGCATGTTCAAAAGCCATGTTATTTAAATATCGAATGGTCATAGGTTCAGTTTTTCCAATACGTTGCACTTTATTATCAGTTTTATTTTTATCAAGGGACAAGAAATTTAAAGATCCAAAAACTTTATTTATTACAACTTTATTATCGAATATCGTATCTAGAATGTACTTGTTGATG